TGTTGTGATGCAACTTCACGTGCAACAGTTTCGGCATTGCTTCTAATATAGATTTATTTATTTATTTATTTGTCATAACAGCTCTATCTAACTCGTACCAAAGGTGCTTTTTCTTTCATTTAAATAATTCGCTGCTAGTTTCTTGAAGCCTTCCATCTCTCTCGGTGGTCCATTAGCAGAATCGTTTCCAGAGTCTTTTGACAGTAGTGCTTGGGGTCTATTTGTGTGTGCGCTTATTGTGAGTCTTTGGAGGAATCCGAGATTGGGGTTTTAATGGAAGCTTATTTCTACATTATTATTATTTTTTTTGTGATTTAAAAGGGCTAATAAGGCTACATTATCTCTGGTTTGGAGTGGGAAGAGTTTTTGGAGAAGATTTGTTGAAAAGAAGAAGTTTTCTCTTAGTTTGAGAGAGGGCTTGAGATCGAAACGTATGAGAAACAATTGGGAGAGTAAAATCTGATGAAATTTTAATGTGTGGATAGGCATAAACACCGGGCAATATGCTAGAATGACTTTCTAACAAAGTGAAATTAGTAAAATGACATTCTCTTATTTTTTTATGAAGAAAGACATTTACTCATTCTTTATAAAATGAGGTCATTTTACAAATAAAAATTTTTGAGAAGTTATTTTACTAATAAACTTTTCAAAATAGTTATTTTTACAAAGGCCTCCGTAAACACCACATAAAGCCAGTCGCACAATCAAGTTTTAAAAATTATAAAAACACCCCCAGAAAACTCAATATTTACACTAAAACCTTAAAAACATAAATATTTTACAAATAACTACATATAAAACTTTCATAATGATCCTCTAAATACATTACCCCCTTTTCGCATTTAAAATACCGTTTGGACCAAACACAACGATCAACTCCTCTTTCGACGGCGGTTAACTCTTTTCTGCACTATTACTACTTAAAATCACATAGTTAAGTAATTTCAATCACACGTTTTTATAAAAATACATTCAATAATAAAACAATCAACATTTGTCATAACTGAAACAGTTAATAAAACCATATTAAAGTGCTAAATATTTTTGTTAAACTTAAGTTATTAGGCTAATTTAACTTAAATTAAGCTCGGCATTACATTTTCCTTAAGGGTTTCATTTGATTTTACCAATGGAACCGGTTATTTGTTGGAATTATGGTCTTTCCACAGTTTTCGGCTGTGCAAAGTCAAGATTGGTGTTTGTATTTTCTTGACTTTGGAATATATTCTATTTCCTTTCAAAAACAAACAAAAAAAAAAGGCGAAAAAAAAAGAGAGAGAAAGAAAATCAAAACCCATATTTAATTTTGCATCACGTTCTACTCATCGTTCCACGTATATGTAACCAAGTTATACTTGCATTTTATATAGTCTATTATGTCTTAACTTATAGTTGCATTATCTATATATATATATATATATATATTTTATGTAGTCTATATCTGACTACTCGTGCAGGCTTTTCACGATCAAGAGACATCCACGTCGAGGATGCTTTTGTTTTTCTATAATTTTCAGATTCGCGTTGACATCTTGTGTCCGCATGCACAATAGAAGATATTCGTTTTGTATATCTTGTGAATATCCTTATATGTTCATCGTCGACTGCCCTAAACTCTTACCTCATTAGTCCATTGATGTCAAGTTTTCTCTGACCAACACTGCATGCAGACATTTCACGACCAAGACTCATCGACGACGCTGCTCTGTCGTTAGCTCCTAGTTTTTCAAACTCGCTTTGGCAACGTGTACCGTCAAAATAATATATATCCTTTCATAAACACATTCACACATGTCTTGTGAAATTCCTTAAATATTTTTGCCCGTCATGATTCTTTATCTTATTAGTCCAAACCCCATTGACCATCAAAAAAAGAAAAAAAAAAAAAAAAAAAACCTCTTCTCTGACCAGTAGGCGCAGTATTGCAGACATTTTATGACGTAGATTCATCCACGACGCTAATATATCGCTCTAGTTTTTCTAACTCACGTCGGCATGCATCTTGTGCACCGTCCAGGTTCTTCCGTATGATCATTCTGAAAAATTCTTTTACTTAATAGATAATATTCCTCTACGTAAAATCCTAGGACTGCTATTTTACTATTTTATTATTTATTATATTTGTGTATGTATGTGTTTATGTGTAAGTAAATCGTGAACTCCGTGATCAGGATCTTCATATGGTTTGCTCTTCCATGGAAGCTAGGAGCTAGTTATTTCTAGTTTCCGCATGCATCTAGCAGATAACAATAATTATATTACAAGCTCCCACCGTAATTAGTTTCTTTTTCTGACAAAATTACAGCACAAAATGAAATGAAATATTGCAGCCTGTCGGATTAAACCTGAAGTACTGCATTTTTCTGTCAGCCAAAAATTACTTTGATTTTCCTGGCGACAATATTGCTCGGTCGGCTGACTTTACAGGCTCGGGGAAAAGTAAGTTATAATGCTATAATCTCTCTCTTTTATTCTTTGCCCTCTTCCCCTTTCTTTCTCTTTTTGTCACTACTCTCTGATCAGTTTGGAAGATCTGATTGATTGCCCATTTTTATCTTACTAATGGCATATATATAGATCATATGCTAGTCCGGAAAATATATATAGCTATAGGGTATGAATTAGATCATATATATCATTTAGTTGTGACATGCTCACTTTGTTGCTGTTGGGTTTGGTGATTTATGGTGTGTTTAGTAAAGGGATTCGTACCCTGATTCGAATCATGCTTCATGGTTCGTTACAGAATTTTCTCTCACAAAAAATACATGTAAATAAAAATAGTTCTAATCTCATGATTTTAATCCATGAACCAAACGTCTCATTAGTAATTAGTAGGCTAATGAATGTTTGATTATCAGAGAACTCTTCTGGTTATATAAAGTTGTAATAATCTCTCTCAGACTCTTTGCAACGATCTCATTCTCATCATTTGATCTTAATATTGAAAATTCTAGATGATCCCGTATATTCTCAAGTCCCCTCTTTCCTCCAAAACATTTTCGCGAAACTTATTAGAGCTTGTTACTAGGAGATAAATTAGGGAAAAAGAAGGTAATGAATTGCATGAGGGATCTCAAATCCTTCAAATAAACTAATTTTAATCTCTTTAAATATGGAGATATTAGAGGAAATTCATGCTAAATACAATAATCAAAGAAAAGGTACTTCTTTTTCCTTTTTATTTTCCTCACCTATATTTTATGTTTTAATTCCAAACATAGCCTTCATAGTAGTATGAAAAAGAGGAATATGGTAGATGAATTGTGATCTCTACCAATTTCCAAGAATATAGTATAATGGAATTTGAGAAAAATCAATGTTTAAAGTGAAGTAACTTATTGCGTAGACACGAATTATAATGACTTTTTTTTTTAATTGTTTTCTTCCCTTATATTCTCTCATAATGATTGGAGATATGATAAAACTCAAAACTATATTTTCTTTTTTTTTACATTCTTACCACTTATATAGAAAAATTTTCTTTGGTAGGGTACGACATATGAAAGTATCCTATTGGTACTGTAGTATTTTGTACCTCTCACTTATATCAGATTCCGTTAGTTTTACCTGTTTTTTAATATAATTTAATATGAGTTTGATAACTGTCTCATATGAAAAAAAAAATGTTTCTAGTTCATTATTACCTCTTATATTCACTATCTTTTCTATCAGATTAGATTACCTTTCGTCCAAGGGGAAAATAGGAAAGAGGGAATGAGGGTGAAGAATTAATAGACATACTAACTACTTAATAGGAAAGATTATTTGGAGGAAACGAAAGTGTTAGCTAGAATCCAATGGTGTTTTAGCATGTCATTTGGAATAACAAAATTGGATCATTTATTCACGTTTTAGTGTTTATAAACTACTTATCTATTAGGATAATGAATTAGAACCAAGAAAATTCCTTTCCAAGCATTTACTAAACACAAGAATTTGATATTAATTAATTTAATTACTAAATTACCGTTATGTATAATTAAATAGTCATTGGTTTCATAAGGATACATTTAAGTAAATTCAACATTTATTCCAATTCAACAACAATTAATACCATGGTAAGAAGTTAAATTGACATTCATTTTTCCCATTTTCGTATACCATGTGAGCTCTACACAATTACCATTCTTGATTTTGTAAGGAAACAAATGAGTAGGTGTTAAAAGAAAATACTTCTGATCCATTTATCTTTCAAATCCACTTGAAGTAAACATGCCCATAGCTAAAATCATACAGACATTACGTTTTGGTTTTAGAGGAAAAAAAGGAATTTAAAGTTTATTATCTCAAGTTATTACTTTAATTGAAAGTCGAATCTACATTCCTCAAATTATTGACAAAGAAAATAAAAACAATCATAATAATAAGAAAAATATTTAAGAGTACCACCGATATTAAGCACAACTTAATAGAAGGTGGGTCTCACTTGTGACTCTCACGCTATGAGACCTACATTCTATTAGATGATAGTGCTTAACATTATCGGTGCCTTATAACATTACTCTAACAATAACAGCCCATTTCCCCTTCCCGCTTTCTAACTTTTCTTTGTATCTCTATGTGTTACCAAAGCCACTGCCAAAGCCACGTATTCCTTTCTTAATTTCTTTTCTTCGCCTACACGTTACATACACCTGATCTCCCTATCCTATTTATTTACACATCTTTTATTTAAACATTATAACATCATATTTTTAAATTATCTGAAAATTCAAAGTTTAATTTGATAAGTTTCAAAGCAACAAGTATGACAAGAAGCAAAAAAGTATTCGAAATAGTATTGTGAATTGGAGTACGAAATTGAATAACATATATCAAACATTATTTCAACTTTTAGTACTAGATATAGCAAATTGACATTGGCATATGCGTCTAATCATCGAGAGAAAAAGTCATAGAAAGTTTGGCCGAGACCAGCCGATGAACAACGTCCTTCTTCAACCCCAGAAGAACTAGAAGCAATATAGCAAATTGACATTGGCATATGCGTCTAATCATCGAGAGAAAAAGTCATAGAAAGTTTGGCCAAGACCAGCCGATGAACAACGTCCTTCTTCAACCCCAGAAGAACTAGAAGCTGGAGTTGATCCATTACTTGTCGAGGGATTAATCTCAGTATCAAAAAAGCCTGAACTACCATGATCAGGATTCTCCTCTTCTGAGCCAGCTTTTAAAACTCCGGTTGGGCTCAGAGGAAACAGCGCGAGAGTTTCTTGGTTACATGATGAGGTGCTCATAATGAGCTTGTTATTTCTGACGCCCTCGTCGAAGCAAGAGCTGCTGATAGTACTCTTATAGCCGTAATAGTCTTCTCGAACAGGTTCATATCCTGTGCCAACAGCGCAGGAGATTGTTCCGGTACTTATATTTTCCGATTTGTCCAGCCTAATTGGTGATCTACGCTTTACGCCGTTAGATAGAGACATCTTATTTGGATGGTATTGTTGACGGAACGCCGTTGCTGTATGATGGTGATCAGTCTGCGACTCAACTGGAACGTAATATGGGCCACAAACCACTGGATAATAATAATAATAATAAAAAGACAATCAGTATTCTTAACCAACAAATAGAACGCAGTATACGTGTGTATGTATATATATTTGAATGATCATATTTTCTTCAAGGGTAAAATGAATAAAAACAAGTCAACTCATTTAGTTGGAAATCATAACCTATATGGCTAGAGTGCAGACTTTCTACAGTAAGCAAACTATTTACACGTATATCGAGCACATTTGCATGAAGAGACAGCATGAAACCAGACAAGAAAGCGACGGAAATAAAAAAGTATCTGATCAACAAAGAGTATAATATCAAGCTATTAAACGTTATAAATGCCTCTTCTTGACTTTAAATTCTTTTCCCTCCCACATTTCTCGTGTATATATCAAACCAACAAAGAGAAGGATATGCATACCAGAAATAGAAAAAAAAATTCTGTCATTGATATGTTTTTATAACAATACAAACGATGCTTGTATACATACACATATCATATATACATATATATATATATATGTATAACATTAATAGGAATGAGTCCTAGAAAGGAAAAAAAATAACATGCAAATTACCATTTGGGTAAGGTAGTTGATGAGAAGGTGGAAAGAATGGCTGAGGGGTCCTATGGAGGAAGCGATTGATATAAGCCATGTTTTCTTGCTTCTGCTTCTGCCTTTGGCGAGCTTTGTGATTTTGAAACCAATAGAACACATTCTTACCCTCAATATGACCGAATGTCCTTAGCCTGCTCGTTATCTGCTTTATTTGCTCGGCACTGGGTGTCCTTATTCCTTGCCTATACAAGCCTTCAAGAATATTTATCTGCTCCTTCGTAGGGTTCCACCGCGAGCTCGCCGGCGGAGCGCCACTACCACTACTAGAACCTGCACCAATATTGCTCTCTCCATTATCAGCTTCCATATTTGTAGTATATCATATGTATGTATATTCCAGCTTTTGTGGGTGAGTGGAGAGATTTGGAATTTATAAGAAAATAACAGAGAGAGAAAGAGAAAGATAATGGGTTTGGCTTAGTGCATTGCGTGGCTTTTACTTGTTCCGTTTTATAGAGCGACAGAGAGTCAAACAAACGAGATCAGAGGCAGAGAGAGAGAGAGAGAGAGAGAGAGAGAGAGAGAGAGAGAGAGGGAGGGAGAGGGGGAGGAAGAGATCGAAGAGAGAGAGAGAGAGAGAGAGAGAGAGAGAGAGAGAGAGAGAGAGAGAGAGAGAGAGAGAGAGAGAGAGAGAGAGAGAGAGAGAGAGAGAGAGAGAGAGAGAGAGAGAGAGAGAGAGAGAGAGAGAGAGAGAGAGAGAGAGATTTGACATGCGTATTGTTTTTGGTGCTAAAAATCTCTGAAAACATGGCGGGTAGCGGCTAGCGAGAGAGAGATAGAGAGATCACGATGATATTCATGAGGTGAGGCTTGGCATTTGGCTTGAGGAGAAGGTTCAATATTTTAATTTACGTTTGGTTAGTGTCGCTCCGTGTCTGTCATGATTTGAATCATAATTCGTGATTTGTTATAATATTTTTCTTAAAAAAATACACGTAAATAAAAAATAATTCTGAATTATTATTCTAAATCCATGAACTAAATGTCCACTTATAAAAACAATTAAACAAGGTTAAATGTTGATGATTTTGTTGAGATTTCGAAGAGAAAATGACAATGGTACCCCCACAGTTTAAATTGTGCCGTGTTGTGTTGTAATTTGTATGAAGGACGACTTTGTTCCTTAATGTGAAGGGTATCTCGGGAATGACAGAGCCATTGAAGGGGGAATGGGGAAGAGGAAAACGACAGCCGGTTGGGTTATAAGGTGTAGGTAATAGCTAGGCTTTGGGAATTGAAGTGAGAGCAGAGCAATGCAGGTGAAGGTGAAGATGGAGGGTCTATGGTGGAGGTGTTGATATTTGGTAGGAGTTGGGACATGGTCCGCGCATGGTGTGATTAAGTGTTTCCAGAGATCTTTTTTAACACATATGAGACACACACACACACAATATATATATATATATATATATATATATTACTATATCTATATATATATAAGGCCGCAACTTGGAGAAAAATGTACTATATACATACTATCCAAAATAAAGTAAAAACAAATTATAACATATATATAGTTGTAAATTAATTATTTCTTAATTAACAATTAAAATAACCCATTTTTCCATTTAAAAGAAAAGAATAGAATAACCCATTTTTCGGTTTAAATTTTATAATCATCTTAGCTAACATAATTGGATCATCATATCTCACATGGTAAGATTTGTGTGGAAATATTAAATAGCTGCAGGGATTATTAGGACGCAAATTATATATTTCTATAGTATAAGTTGGACTTAATTTTCAAATGTTTTACTTCTTTTGAAGTAAGAAACTTCTTTTGATATATTTTCATTTTTTCAGATAAAGTTATTTACTAAATTGTCCGGACGTTGTTAGATTATATTATATATATGCTGCAAAAAAAAAAAAAAAAAACAAAGAAGGAAAAGAAATAACTCGAAATTCCATTCGAGATTCTCGATCTTGATTTTGATGCATATAAATTCATTGTAACGACTACAGTACTTCAAACAACTTAACCCAAATACACACGCAAAAGAGAGCACCTTTTCCAAGGCTCAACAAGAGATAGAGAAAGACGATCTGCAAATGGAGCGGAGACCACACATACATATATATATATATATATATCCATATTCCGACTCTACCATTGTTTTTGCATTACTTCGTATCTATACACATATGATCATATACATGCATGCATATAAATATATTTATATGCATGTATATGTATATGGAATTAGACCGAGTGCGAAGATTATAGGAAAGTGGAGTGCTCATGACGCGCAAGCCACTGATGACTTAGCAGAGAACGCACACCCAAACAAAAGACACCGTAGTTAAAGAGAGAGACGGAAAAGGGTCAATGAAAGAATGACACAAAAGCAGTCTACGATAGGTGGTTCGCATGATAATCTTTAATGCTATTCATGCATGCGTGGTTTTTTTTTTTAAGATTAGGTGTCTTACGCGCGCGCTGACTACCATGCCTCTTTATATCATATATATATGTAATATATATAGATACAAATATATACATGCTATATATATATAGGTATAGATCATGTAGATCGGTCTGTGTTGTGAAATATTCTGGTGCGCGGCCGCCAGTACCTCTCAGCGCCGCCTCGTTAACCTCAAAATAATCTCCGTCGGCCATTCGGCGCTGTTCTCTCTCTTTTTCTTGACGTTTTGCAGCATCGAATTCGATGAAGTTTGGTGGATCTTTATCTCTCTTTCTAGGGCTCAGCTACTGTTTCGCCATGGTAATCCGTAATGCGACAATTACTATCCCGCCATCCCTATACGACAATAATGCTTTAACCAGAATCTGTTTGGGAAATTTTGGCAAAACCCAAAGATATCAAATTTGAACCACTTTTCATAATCACTATGCTTGTTGTGGAAAAATGCTATCACTTAAAATGTTACTCTCTTTCTCATTTTTTATATTCTTTTATTGCCATGTGTCATCTTTCTTCTCAAGAAAATAATACCTTGATTGTAGTGGAGATCATTCTTTTGCAATTTATTACAAATTTGCCATCATCCATTTTGCTAACTTTACTATGCTTTTGAAAATCAAATAATGTCATTAGAAAACAAAAGCCTAAATAATATTTGAATTATAAAATTTTCTTGTTATTTGTTATTTGTCTTCAAATGTTATTTTCAAGCATAAATAAATTTTCTTCCACATAAATATCATAACAAAAAATAATTAACATAAAGAAAAGTAATAAGTAACAAGCTTTCCAAATGTGTAGAGGATTTTCTTTAAAAAAAAAAAAAAAAACACAATATAGCATATTTCACACCTATGTTTGAAGTGAATAGCATGTTTTTTTAATCTTAGTAAATAATAGCATATTTTAAATGCATGTGCTGAAAAAATATGTTTGTATGCATCACAGTGCAGATCCGTTCTACAAAAGCCGCCATCGTCGTCGAAGTTTGGAGATTTGTCGCCATCGTCGTCGAAGCTCTGAGGTTTCCATCGCCATTGTCGTCGATCTAGTTCAGCACTACCTCCACCATCGTCGTCGCGATCTCTCTCTCACCTCCGTCACAAATCAGCGCGACTTCAGTGAAAATCTCGGCGCGATCTCAGCATGATGACGACGCGACCTCAGCAAAATGTCAGAGCGACCTCGACGTGACCTCAACACGTGATCTCAACGTTCGTGTGATCTCGGTGCGATCTTGCGAGATCTCGGCGCGACCTTCGCGACACCTCGACATTTCTTCCGAT